GGGGGAAAAAAAAAGAGAAAAAAAAAAAAAAAATGGTTAGAGTTCTAGCCCTTACTAAATACTATTTAACAGTTTTCTTGGGATTTATAGTTCATTAAAAATATTACTTGAAAGTGATTGAATGAATAAATTTAGAGCTAGGATAAAAGGCATTTTAGAATAAAAATAAGGAAGTGGTTGGCTTAGGGCTATGATTTGTATGGTGTGATTAAATTCAACTAATGGAGGTACATTCTGGAAGTTTTGCTCCTGCTTGAGAAGATGAACAGACAATGAATTGCCAGGAGGATCAACAAATGAAACCATTCCCATCCATGGGCTCAGAGGAGGAGGTGTGGCATGAGGGAGAACCACTTACACTTAGGAAGGTTCCTGTCCTGGTTATGCCTCTTACTGTTTTTATGGCCTAGTCATAGACACATGTGAATCGGGTGTCTGTGAACACTCTTCTAGTTTTTATGTTATTGGGTCTCATTACTACCTTGATTCTTTCGTCACAATCATTCTTACATGCATATAAAAAATTTTAAAAACTCATGAAAATCTTCTTAGGATATGGAACTATTAGCCCCAGTGAAGGACAGAGGATGTGCACAGATTTAGCTGCTTGCCTAAGGTCACACATTTTGTAATGCATAGAGCTTGAATTCAAACTCAGATCTACATTAAATCAAAGATTATTTTGTTTCTCTAGACTTTGGACTTGTAGCATGAGATGACTTGGATGATTTAAAAATCTAAAGCCTTTTCTAACTCTAATAATCCAGGAAGATGTGAAAACAACTATGCAATCAAGTAGCAAGTCAGATCAGGAAGGCTATCTGATCCTCATTTCACTAAGCTTCTTCTGTGTACTGTTTGTAAAGGAGTGTGTGCTTGGAATAGAGACCCTTGTGTGCTTGAGATGTGGCAATTAGACTGAAGACCACCCCTGAAAGCAGTGATAATGTTGAAAACAACGCCTTCCCCACACAAATGTCAGAGGGCATTAAGTTGATGAAGTCTGTGGTTTCGTATGCTGTTCTGCCCCAGTAGGGTCAGAAAAATAACTCCCTCCCTGTAAACTCTGGTTAAAGATTCTTGGAGACAAAGTTCCTCATTCCTTCCCTGAGCCCTGACTGATGTGCTGTTCACTGTGTAAGAGGAGGCCCTTCATTCAGGACAGGACAGTTTTGAGAGAAATCAGAACTCCTCAGAACAAATCCAGCTCCCTCTTGGTTCAAGGACTCCAGGAGGTCTTTTATGTGGCACTGCCACAGAAACTGATCAGTGACGACAGGGATCTCTGGATACTGTGTGGGGCATATCTGGGCACAAGGAGAGGCAGAGAGGCAGACTGGAGGGAGTGGCCATGGTCCAGGTGGGAAAGGATGGTAGCTTGGACTGAGATGGTGGAAGTGAAGGTGGAGAGAAGCAGATGTATTTAAGAGATGGTCAGGAGTGGGGTGGCATAGTCACACGCCACACACCTTGCTTCTCTTCCTAGAAAAGCCATGATCCTAGAAATTCTATTCCGTAAGAAATCAACATGGAAAGAGAAGGAGAAAATGTTTGGAGGGAGAGTCCTGGGAAAGGGCTCTAGAGACCTGAGTCTATTCTAATGTCTGCTGCTAATCTGTGTGAACTCTGGCATACTCAGCATGCTTATCTTTAAAGTGAGAGTTAGGACTAGCTGGCTCCTACAGTCCCTCTTAACCTTTTCTAATTCACAGTCAGCTTTCCGTTATTTTTTGCATGATGGCTGATGTTTCATTTATATGCTAACATCCTTTTACTAGAAGAGGAAAGCCCCACTCCAGAAGGTATTTCTTGAATGTTAATGAGCTTCAATATTAGTTTGAATGAGAAGCAATACAAAGCAAACAATAAAACACACTATTAATAGAGTGGATCTTGTTTCTAAAGCCAGTGCTACATAATGGGGCTCACCTTACTGTCAGGATATTTTAGTAAGTTTGAATAAAATTTCAGGAATTGGATTATATTTATTTGAGATACATCTAAATCTAGGTAATTAAGCCATGCTAAAACAGAATTCTGTATAAATGATGTCTGGATTCCCATAGCATGGTGATAGTCATAAGGCTCTATATTTACCAGGTAGTAAAGACCTATTGATACTGTTTGTGATAATTCCAATAGTGATGAGTCAAAGCATATCATATTTTCGTTCTTCACAAGGAAAATGCATTCATGTGTATTTTAAATTAGAGAATTTAAAATTATAATTATAAAGAAATGTGATGTCAAAGTGGCATATTTTAAAAATGGCTTTTACCATTTCTTAGTTAAAAATGAACTTATTTTGTTTTGGTTACACTCACCAAGTCCTTGGCATTTAAAGATACTTCATCCCACCAGGGGGAGATAAAGTAATATTCACAATTCAGAATTCTTCTGAACATGAACTGATCACCTCTTTCATCATAGAATGGTTCAAATCCACAAAGTCTGGAGGGAAAAAATATAGAGAATCAAATATCTTTAAAAGATTACATATATTTCATTAAATCTCTACAGAAATTCAAAATCCTTTTTTATACCCTGACTTGAAAGTAGCTCTACTCAGTTTAAGTATATAATTTTTTTTTGTTACAATTCACTATAGATGTGTGAAAACACAGTCACAGCTCCAGAAATAAGAATAGTGGACTCCGATTCATACAAAAAACTATAATGACAATAATGGCACAAAAACATAATGATAGAAATAGCTAACAGTATAGACAGCATGGTAAAGATTTTCCAGTTGAGTTTTCATGAGAGGTAAAAAAAAGTGAAGCCAGGCATGGTGGCACACACCTTTAGTCCCAGCACTCAGGAGGCAGAGGCAGGCAGATCTCTGTGAGCTGGAGGCCAACTTGGTCAACATAGCCAGTATAGCCAGTTCTAGGCCAGGTGAGGTGACAAGGAGACCCTGTCTCCAGGAGACAGATTGATTTGGGTCCAATTTAGTATAAAATGGAAGAGTTAAGATTTGGAGAATACAAAGTTAAAGCAGAAAGAAATACAGCTTTTATTCATTTTTGTTCATCCCTAGCCACTGAATTCTCCCTAACTGTGCTGGACAGTTAGTGTCAACTTGACATACATGGGTTGAGGGAGCCTCAATTAGGGAATTGCCTCCATTGGACTGGCCTGTGGCCATGTCTGTGGGGCATTTTCTTCATTGTTGAGTAATGTGTAAGGGCCCAGCCCACTGTGGGTAGCGCCACTCCTGGGCAGGTGGGCCTGTGTTGGATAAGAGAGCAAGCTGAGCAGGGGCCAGGGTAGCAAGCCAGTAAGCAGTGTTCCTCCATGGCCTGTGCTCCAGCTCCTGCCTCCAGGTTCCTGCCCTGAGTTCCTACCTTGGGATCCCAGATGAACTGTGACCTGGGATATGTAAGCTAAATAAATCCTTTCCTCCCCAAGTTGGTAGTGGTCAGAGTATTTTGTCACAGCAATGAAGAAACATACTAGGACACTAACCATTAGTAAAAGTCTGGTATTTCCATCTCTTATTCTGGTTTGGATTTCAGAATGAAATATGGTAGAGATAAAACTGTTAATTCAGTACCATGGCAGCCAACCGATGGGCAGCCTGGACTGGCTTGTTCTTGTACATCACCTCACCACTGTGCATCTTAAAGATATCTGACCACTTCTACCGGCACTTTCTACTCTCAGGTCAGCATAAAAAGAAATGGAAAAAGTGGAAAAAAAGGAACAGTGACACAGCCCTAGCATCCTAAAAGAGAGAGGGAAAAAGGGAGTTGCTGGTCTAAGATTTCCAAGTCTGCACTGTTTGGAGACAAGTGGAGGTTATGAAATCAATAGCGAGCAAAAAGGGACTGAAAACAAATAAAGAGTCCATGCCAGGCATATATCGTATGTGTTGCCTTTGAAAATAATGTGGGGAAAATATGAAAAGTTAAAAGCTATCCTCTCCAATTCTTCCTTTAAGCCAGCCAGGCTGGTGTGAACCATGGGCAAATGAAGCCTATCTTAAAATTAGGTACTAGAAAGAAACAGTTTCTTATGTCCTTCTGCTCATGAAATGCCCCAGCAAGAGAATCTTCATCTCTTCTAAATATTCTGGAGCCAGCCAGGAGAGGGCAAGACTTGGGAGAGATAAAGCCTAAGCCAGTGCACTCTTCCCTTGTATCAGTCTGCACAGAGAATCCAGCATCGACCCATGTGTGCAAGGGAAACATAAGGATAGAAGGGAGAACGGGTCCTTGCCTTGGCCCTCCTGCCCTTATAATACTAGGAACGTAGAGTTGACTGCTGCTTAGTCATGGAGAAAGTAGCCAACTTTCCAGGTTTTGTTTAGGACTGTCCTTATGTTTCCCATTCTGAAAATCTAAAGACAAAAATGATAATTAAAAAATTATAGTGCTTGAATGTCTTTTCATACCAGTCATGTGAGTGACTGTGCTTTGGTGGCAGAAGTAAACAGTTTATGTCATGGCAGCCTGAAATTCCAGGATTTCAACACAGAGCAGCAACCATGCACATGCGGGTGGCACAAGGCCCCTTCAGAAATGGTGACATGACAGTGGCAGTTCAGAACCTCGTGGGGATTATACAGGCCTGAAGTATAAAGGTGCTGAACAGGGCAGCTCCAAGCCTTTGGATAAGTGCTGCAGCTGGAGGAGAGGCTTTGAACTTCTGGTGATGAGTTCACCTGATCACTGTAGTTAAATGACCAGTACTACAGCTTTAAAAGGTAAATGGCCCAGAATTCCTGCAAGAAACAGTAGGTAGGCCTTTACTTCCAACCTAAAGTCATCTTCAGAAATAGGCCATTGCACAAAGTAGGTTGTGACAAGCAGAACTTTTAAGGAGTGAAGCATTAAATGCAGCTGTCCTCATAAGATGAGGGGCAAAAGAAAACAGGTTTCTACCTTAACCAGAATCAGGGGCTGGAGACACAACTCATTCAGCTTGCCTAATAATCATGAGGACCTAAGATGGATCCTCAGAGCTCACATTACAAGAAAAAGAAAAAAAAAAGCTGGGCACAGTGGCATATACTTGTAATCTCAGTGCTGGGGAGGTGGGTACTTGGGGCTTCCTGGCTAGTCAGCTTAGCCTACTTGGTGAACTCCTGGCTAACAGAGAACCTGTCTCAAAGCAAAACAAAAGCAGAAAAAGAAAAAAGATGAACAGCACCCGAGGAATGATACCTAAGACTGTCTTCTGGCCTTCACATACGTGCACATACAAGTGTGCACATGCACACACGTACATATGCCCACACAGTCACACATGTACACACACAAATAGTCATCACATTTACATTCACGGCTTTATGAAAATAAATCCCAGAGTTTACGCATATATAGAGAAGTGGATATAAAATATGTACCTCAATGTTTGGGTGATAAAGTTAGAATTCAAGTGATGTTCATCATGTAGTTTTCCCAGAAAGCATCAACAGAACAGATCCTCAGTGCTACCTCTTTCGTCCATTATTTCTGTGCCCTGCCCCCTTTTGGTTCTGAACCACCCAGTGCAATGAATCAGATGACTTGATGGCACAGTTTCAAGTCACCGTCACCCTGCTAAATGTACATGAAGGCTAAATAAAGGTGATGTGCAGGTCCAGTGGTACACTTCACAGAGGAAAATGTGCCAATGATCCTTGCCAGGTGGACTAATGGACTACAGGTTAAGTAAAAAGTTCCAAGGTTTAGGGCTGATGGAGTTGGAGAACTTAAATGGTATCAGTTTTAAGTGGCACTGTCATCTTCAACCATCACCTATTAGTCAGTAACCCAAGCTGTATGAAACAAGAAGAACCAGAACAAAGCAGTTTGTATAGTTTGGTAATGGGCCAGGGGAAGGAATTGCCCAGATTTCTAAAGTTGTTTTGAAGGCTATAATGAAATGCTTGTCATATGATCAGTTTTTCCCTCCTTTATCTCATGCCTGTGGGCTTTCTGTGGAGTTTTACCTAATCTGTATTCCAGTTTTCCAGAATGGACATAACTCAATTTTCTGCTTCCATACCCTCAAGTTCTGTTAGAGCATGAAGCTTATCTCCTCACAGTACATTTCAACATGAATTATAATCAAGGGCATTTACATTTTATGGGCAAAACTGAACCTTATTTGTACAGTGTAGTTTTTCACTTCCTTTCAGAAAGCATGCTTACTCCATAGTTCAGGGATAATTCTCTCCGTGCCTTCCATGTTGGGACACAGTGTAAAGGAAGAGGGTCCTCTCCAGAGCCCAGCCATGCAGTCACTTTGACATCAGGTTCTAGCTTTTGGGACTGTGAAAATGTAACTGTCTCTTGTTTAAACCTCTCTGCTGTGCATTCTGTTATAGTCACTCACCTACAACTAATACACTCTCTTTGAAACCCTTGAAAATCTCTCTACAGATTTGAATATTATGGGTTCCAAAAACTAACTCTGCATCCCCTTCAGAATGGCCAATAAATATGCTTATTTTGGATTAACTCCTGAACTCATTGGTATCTTGTGTTTTAACTTTTCTATAGCAACCTTCACTTATAACTGCCCTCATCATTACCTCTAGTTCCATCACTGTTTTGGCAAATTTCCAGAGACTCCTATTTTTTTATTAGATAGTAGCTCAGGAATGGAATTAGAGATACCAGAGAATGAAATATTTAGCTCATGTTATTTACAGTATTTTTAATACTGTAACCCAAGGCCTTTGAAATAGCCAAATCTGTTCAAAATACTCTGATAGGATACACACCAGCTTGGGATTCTGAGCTTTCTTTTTTAAAAAATTCCTATTTTTTTATATGTATATATGGGTGCCTGTGTAAGTTTATGTGCATCACATGCTTACAGATGCCCATGGAGGTCAGAAGTTATCAGATTCCCTGCAAGTGGAGTTCCAGGCACTTATGGGCTGCCTTATGTGGGTGCTAGGGACTCAACCTGGGTCCTCTGCAAAAGCAGTGAGTACTCTTAAACTCTGAGTCATCTCTCTATCCCCTAGTTTAAGATTTCTTAAGAAACAAATGACAGCTCTCCTAAAAGGACTAAAAGTCTATTCAATGAGATGCAAATAAATAAAATGAGAGTGTGTGGTGGATGAACCTAGATTTCACATGACCATTAGTTGCTTAAATGTGCTGTGCATTATATAGGAAAATTGACAAAGAAAAGCCCTGAACAGAGATTCTATCTCTCAAAAAAAATGACAAAATAAGAAATAACATTCATTTTGAGAAAATTCTATCACCAACTACATGTAATGTGAAAAGAAACATTACAGAAAGTCAAATAGTAATCTTGGTTTTTATGAGAATCATCAATACCTAGAAGATATCATGCAAAGGCAGTTTGCATAAAGATTGCTTTTCTTCACTTACAAGATGTAGGTGATTATTCCTACAGACCACATGTCCACCTCAGGTCCATAGGCACAGCCTCTGAGAATTTCAGGCGCTGCAGAAAGAGAGAAAATTGGGTTAAATTGGAGCTTGCACTCAGCATTCGCTTTTCAATAGCAAGCGATGGAAAGAAATGAATTCCCAATAAGACTTGTGAATTCTTTTAAAACAAATTGTCTCTCCTATAACCACATCAGGATGCCACGGATTCTTCTATTTCCATAGGAGAATTTGGAGTATCTTGATGTCATGGGTACATCAAAGTAAGCTATTAATGATAGCATTCTATATTCAATCTCACGATACTTCTCAAATCAGATAGTGGTGTATGTTGACTACAAAAAGCCTGTTACTCCAAAGAGAACTTTGTGCATAGACAAAGAAGAAATGAAAGCTACACACAGTAAAGGGGAAAATGGGCAAAATTATGCCTCCTTGAAATCTAGAACTACTTGAATCGGGTGTACAGTGAGTACATGTCTGTGCTGTGGGCAGCAAGGACCAGGGCAGACTGCGGGAAGGGTCTGCAAAGCTCTAGTACTGAAAGGTTAGACGATGCACAGGAAGGGCCCTGACACGGGTCTTGACATTGACCACTGTGTATAAGGCCTCAGTGAGAATCTGTTTCCAGTGAGCATGAGGCCATGACCTGAGAAAGGGGGATTTCTCTGTGCACAGGAATGCCTATAGTAGCCCTTTCGATCACTGAGGAAAAGAAAGCCCACTCAGTTATGAAACTCCTGGAGTGGAGAATGTCATGACCGTTTATATTTTTATTACATTAGAGCTGTGAAAACAGGAAGTTAACTGGGTTTGGTGATTTGCACGAAGGATTGGGAGTGCTGTTTGTTTGCCTAACAATGGAAAAGAAAGAGAAGTAAGATCTCTATCATCTACAAAGAGACAGAGTTCAGTCCTACCATCCAGAGAAGAGACTATGTTCAGTGACAGACCTGTAGGTGTTGGACTCCCTAAGGAAGTTTGATGCAAGCTGAGGATGCCTTGTGGGAGTTCTGGGGGATCACACACTCCTCCAGATAGGGGCTTCATAGTAAATGAACCTAATCCACTGTCCACACTGGAGGGAAATGTTCATACTCAGTACTACCATCACCATGAGCTCTGGTGGAACCTGTCATCGAGGGACTCTGGATTTACTGGAAAGACTACTGTGGATTTCCACTGATGTCTTTCAGTGCTATCCTGTACCCCACTCTTCTCCAACCAAGATTTTCTAGTCCTTGTAGAACTATGTTTCATAAAATACAGGAGATGAAGAGCTGACACCATAAAAGGAGGGCGTGCATCCTAGGATGCTAAGTAGCCACTCAGCAACATGCACTCTTTAAGGACTTGTATTTGGATCCAAGAAATTTTTCTTGTTTAAAGTTGAATCATTCCTAGAAAAAAATGTCCTTTTAAGATTTAATTGACAGAATTAAGAAACTGCCTGCCTAGTGCCAATGTTTACATTCTCAGGTAAGGTTTCATTTCCTGGAATAATTTTTACCTCACAGAAGGAGGCTTTGGGCCCCAATAGCCTAACAGAAATGACCCCACCCCTTGCAAATGCTGTTTCTCCTTGTGCAAAGGGATTCACTTCTGGGGAAGGTTTCTACCACCTGTCCCTGGGAGCTGGCCCGGATGGGAAGAAGTGGCAGGACAGGTGTTTTGGCTTGTGTAGTGAGTAGTGTCAGCCGTAGCCCACTCAGGCACCTGATTTGAGCCCCACATTGATATTTAATCATACCTACAGAGAACTGTTGGACAGATGCTTTTATGTTTCTTGAAGCTTTGGGTTTTGGGTTTTTTTTTTTTTTACCTTTAAAGTCTAAGTGAACTGGGCTAGCCTATTTCCAAGTTTACTTTGAGTTTTAACCTGTGATTTAGTAAGGAATAGTCACTGATCCTTCAAGCTTGAAGAGCGGACCAGCGGGCACACTCTTGCCCTGCAGAGCCTGCTGCATCTCATCCCCCATTTATCCTGTTAGAGCAGTGACTGTGCTGCCCCAGGGCTCATACTGCTAGCTAGTGAAGTCAAACCTTCTGTCTGTGCTGGCCAGAAACATCTCCTGGCAAGAGTCAGGTGCTCCCCCCCCACTTCCTGTGGCGCTCAGCCAAGAGACCTGCAACAAGTGAACACCTTGGAAGAAAGTGCACTTTGTGTCCCTCTACAGAGCATCTAAATTTTTTTAACGAACAGGACAGTATCTGCAATCCCTTTACAGCCCTGGGATCAAATATACTCTCCAGAAGCAAAAAACACTTCCCTGTAAGGCACTATCCTGTAATGAGTCAACTCTGGGGGTGAAAGGATAAATTTCCTACCGTGAAGTTAATTGAGACAAAGGAAAAATAAAATGTTCTTGCCTTCTGTAATATTTTTTTCTTAAAATATTCTTTAAAGGAATTTATAACATTTTAATTCTAATATAAACGAGGAGTTAAATGAAGTCTAAATCAACTCATATACAAAATCTAGATATCATTTTCCATAGTATATTTTCAATCGCTAGTTAGTATGACTTTGGTTTCCTTTGGAATTAACAGAAGTCACCCTTATAATCTACCCAAACCCTTTAAAGGAGTTTAAAGCTTTTTCCAAAAGCTTTTCAGAATAAATACCAGGCTCTGGTGCTTCAGTGCTTGTCTCCTAGGTGTCCAATGTGCCGATAGGTGACTCCAGCAATTTGTAATCTCAGAATGAGACAATGGAGAGACACTCAGATACTTTCTTTTTCATTAAGATATCAAACTAGGTGTGGTGGCACATACCTGTAATCCCAGCATTAGGAAGTGGGCAAGCAGGGGGATCAGAAGGTCAAGACCACCCTCTGCTATATAAAGGAGTTTGAGGCCAGCCTGCGTTATAGGAAACTCTATCTCAAAACAAGAGAGGATATCAATAAGTCTATCACTAAATAAACAAAATTATGGGAGAAGAAATCCTTTCAAGTCAAAAAACATTTTTTTTTCCAGATACACTTTAGTGTCAGGACATACTGTGAATAAGAAAAAGTTCTTGAATGCAAATACAAGTCCTTGGAGAGGGCATGTTGCTGAGTGGCTACTTAGCATCCTAGGATGCACGCCCTCCTTTTATGGTGTCAGCTCTTCATCTCCTGTATTTTATGAAACATAGTTTACAAGGACTAGAAAATCTTGGCTGGAGAAGAGTGGGGTACAGGATAGCACTGAAAGACATCAGTGGAAATCCACAGTAGTCTTTCCAGTAAATCCAGAGTCCCTCGATGACAGGCTCCACCAGAGCTCATGGTGATGGTCCACTGTGTGGACAGTGGATTTGGTTCACTTCCTAAGGAGTCCCTGTCTGGAGGAGTGTCTGATCCCCAGTGGTAGAGTGTGTTCTTAGCATGCTTAAGGCCTGAGATTCTATCTTTAGCACCCAAAAAAGAAAAAAAAAAGTATTTTACAGGACTTATACTCATGTATTCTTGACTTCTTTGGCTACCTTCTAAGTGAGTCGATGTTGTCTGGCACTTTCTAAAATCACCTTATCAATTCACATTATTGTCCATCAAACAGTACATATTATAGAGCTCCCAGTATATGTACAGGTCCAATGTCCAATACAGTCTAATTTTGGTAAATATTCTGAGAATTCCCCAAATGCCAGACATACCCTTTAAAAAAGCAATTAGGACCAGATGTAAAAATTATACAAAAATTCAATGATATTTATTCAGTACCACCTAGACCACAGAGTATTGAATTTTTTTCTATAAGATAATGGCATCACTAAAACATCTAGAGAATAAAGATCTATCTAGAAACTGCAATGAGTTCAGATTTATCACATATAATCAGTTCTGGAAATGGCTGATAAACACTTATAGGAATCACTGGTGTTGGATTGCTCACTTTCCCTAAGACCCCAGAAGAACGATATAGAGACAGTATTGATCCTTGACTATGCCTTCATTTTTTTCAGTGTTCTAGATGGGCTGCATGATTCTGTCCTTCTTACTAAGTTAAAACCACAGAGGAGCATTTGGTTATGAACATTTTCAAGGCACAATGAACTCTTTTGAGTAAAGCAAATCTGATGAAGACTAGAGTATAATCAATGTATTCATTCACTCACTCAGAAAATAATTTATCAAATATTTATTAAACACCTTCTGTAGGATAGGTACTGTTTCAGGGGTGCTGGGGCAATAGTGAGGTGCTAAAGATAGCAAGTCCCAACCTTCACACAGGTCAGGGAGGTGAATGTTAATTAAAAAGAACCCATAAGAAAAGTGCAAAGTAGTAACTTGGAGTGCTTGAGGGAAGGGTGTCTGGATAGGGTTAGCCCAGCCACAGGGTCAGGGAAGATGACAGGAGGAAGCAACATCTGAACTGAGGTATGAAGGACCTAGAGAAATGAACTAGAGGGCAGTTGAGGAAAGCAGGCAAAGAGCTTCAGGTAAAGAAAGCATCCATGCTAAGGTCCTGTGGCAGGAAGGAGCAAGGCCGCCCCACTCAGGGGTGCAGTGAAGGTGGGGTGGGGTGAAGCCTTCCTATCAGGCTGTCAAGTCTAGTACTCAGAGATTTTCTGTTTTTTAAGTTTATTTATTTATTTATTTATTTATTTATTTATTTATTTATTTTGTAATGCTTGCATCTCTCTAATTTCTGGGTCTTAGGTCTTTGGATTCCCCTGGAACTGGGGTTATGGAGTGGTCAGCCGCCATGTGGGTGCTGGGATTTGAACCCGGGTCTTCTGCAAGAGCAGCCAGTGATCTTAACTGCCTACCACTCTATCTTTCCAGTCCCCTTATTTGACTTTAAAGCCTCTTCTCTGCTTTCATTCTGGCAAATCAAAATATATAGGGAGAAAAACAATCTATGTACATCTTAAGGCCTAAATCTGACTTTCAGACTCCCCCATTCCAAGTGTAGGGGAAAACTGCCAGAATTTTTATGTTTGTGTCATGTGGAAATCAGAGAACAACCTTGGGTGTCATTCCTCAGGGATGAAGAGTCCGTCTACCTTGTCTCTTTGAGACAGTATCTCTTACTGACCTAGGGCTTACCAAGTAGGCTAGACTG